GCAGTGGGCGAAGTGATCTCCCGTGCTTTCCGACTAAGACTGGTTCAACTACTGGATCCCCTATCGTATTTATGCGGCCCGGCCGTGTGAGCTCAACGGTATTACCCGAGACTAACCAGAGAGGCCATTTGACAACATGACAAACAATTTTGATAGGAAAGAAGAGGTAAAGGCCCTTAATCCAGATTGGAAACACGTTTTGCGGCAAACAGTGTATGCGCCAAAACATTTGAAGCACCGCCCACTCCCCACGCATGAGCTCACACAGCCGGGCCGTATAAATACGACAGGGGATCCAGTAGTTGAACCACACTTTGATCTTAGCCAAAAGGCCGAGAGGCGAAGAAAGGTAGAATAAGCTAAATTATGTTAGATTAAGTACAAATGATTTTAGCATTTAGGAGCCGTAGATAATAAGCAATAAGAAGGAATGTAATCCTTAGTTGAAAATAAAAGCTGTTCAAATGCGAGTAGTTGAACCAGTCTTAGTCGGAAAGCACGGGAGATCACTTCGCCCACTGCCTATTATGGAGAGGTGTATCCTGGACGAAATCCACGATACAATACAGGACAAGAAAGTGCTGCTGGATGAGCAACATGGATTCAGGCCGGGCCATGGCGCAAGAAGATCAAGGCCGGCTTTCCAGGGTACCAAACCAAGCTCATCAGCAGTTACTTGTCTGGACGCAGTTTTCAAGTCAGAGCAGACAAGTAGCTTTCTGCCAACCGGCCAATGATGTCAGGAGTATCGCAAGGGGCGGTTCTGGCCCCTACCCTGTACAATATCTACATGGCGGACCTTCCAACAAGAACACAGAAGGCTACATCTACGATGACGATGTAGCCTTCACTACTGTCGGGAAGGGTCCTGCCATCCAAGCCCAACTGCAGAGGTAGCTCAACAAAGTCGTGAAATGGAGCATGGACTGTAAAATGGAGTTAAATCTAGCAAAACCACAAGCCATCATATTCACAAGAGGCAGGAAGAATCCACCCAGAGGCCTACTAGAGCTTGCAGGACAGGGGCTACCATGGAGGTCCAAGATAACCTATCTTGGACTTACATATGACAAGCGTCTAGTATGGCACGACCAAATGGCAAACACCATCGCCAAGGCCAGATTCCTGCTCCATGCCTGCTATCCTCTGCTGTCTGGTAAACTCTGCTTACGAACTAAGGCCAGAGTTTACAAGCAAATGATCCGCCCGGTACTGACCTATGGATCTCCTGCGTGGGCCATAGCCAGCACCTCGCAAAAGCAGAAACTGGCAGTATTCCATAATAAAATACTGAGGATAGTGACCCATACTTCGTCAGAAACACCACCCTGCGAAGAGACCTGGATACAGAGGACCTGCTAGATCACATCCGGAACCTAACGTCAGGGTTAGGATAGGATTCGGCATAGCAAGAATCCCACCGTCAGGGTTTCTTGCACCAAGAAGTTCGACTGTGACCGCAGACCTCTCCCTGTGGACACAGTCTAAGAAGCAGACGTGGACCACATGCGATGTGCTTAAGTTAGCTTAGGAAGCATTAGAGGATGTGTTATATTAGGTTTAGGTTTAGGTTAGAATAAGTCATACGATGTCATTTAAAACAACAATATGTTAGCATTAAGGATCCGTAGAATAAGTAGCAGTAAGAAGTATTGTAAAACTTGTCTGAAATAAATATGTTCAAAAGCAAGTAGTTGAACCAGTCTTAGTCGGAAGGCACGGCAGATCGCTTAGCCCACGACCTCATCGCCTTTGATAATGTCCACCGCAGTTGTGGACGAAACGTCAGGAAGAAATTCCCATGGACCACGGTGATTTTACCCGCCGTGAAAGCCTTCACAGTCTGATAATTAGTCAGCTTATTTATCACAAGCGTTAGCTTACTAGTGATACTCTAATTATTTTATCCTTGCTGTCATGTAAAAATGTGCTTCGCCTGGGGATTTTTTTGTTAATAACTGTTTCATAGGATACCTTAATTGAATCTTAGAATGGTGGAATGGAAATACACTTTGAACATTGTGTCTCCAACGTTTCGTCAAATACAGGATGTCCGGTTTTTTAGAGTCTCGCAAGACTCTTGCGAGAGTCTTGTTCTGGCAGTACATGGTCTTGGTCTTGGTCTAGCAAACCAAAAGCAGTCTTGGTCTTGGAGCTACAGACCAAGACCAGTTTCGCTCATCACTAGAACCGACAAAGATAGAGACGCATTATGCATTGAGCCAAAACCCACATAGGGTTATTAAAAGACAGTATTTTAAGCAAGCTTTGAGAATGCTTGTTGTGCAGACACCATTAATGTTGTCTCCGCCAGAATATACTCTCAGCATTTAAAAAATTATGATTATGAGAGGAATTTGGAATTCAAACTTTGGGGTACTTTCCAAAAACAAACGCTGTACTTTATTGCACATCTGGCAACTATGCTAGCCTACAAAATAATTAATTTCTTGTTATTTTTCATTTTCAAGTTTAAAAACCTGCCGAAAAGCATTTTGTAATTTTAACGAAGATTGATAAAAGAATAATTAAATGTGACAAAGGCTAAGCTATATAAGCTATATTTAATCATACTTAGCAGACAGGAACAATTCACGTCACGCAGTGAGTTCCACTGACTTCACGCAAATCGACGCAATATCCTACCTTGTATTGATTGTATCATGTCTGGCATTGATATCAACGAGACATAGATTAGACTTATTCATCTATCTTCATCCAGATTGAAGGTAACCTCCATCGCAGTAGCTCTTGTTCGAGATTTCTCAAGACCAAATTCTTCGCGTAGACTGTTAATCATTTTGCTTTGTACAATCCTTAAACCATTTTTGTTATGTTTGATTTCCACACCTAAGAACAATTCTACTTCTAGAGGGTAATCCAAAATTCAAAAAACTGGGTTACGTTTATAGTAAAATAACCTGCAAGAGGACGTCAGAAATGTCAACTGTCAGTTTAAGGTAGAAAATAAAACAGTGCAGTATTGCGGTACAAATACTGCAGAACAGTACTTTAATTTTGTAGTACTTATTTTTTAGACTGGTCTGCGCATGCGTATGTGTCAAAAAAGCTCAGACTGTATACTGCATGACCTTATTGGCCGTCCAATATATCTCTAATATATTCTGTATCACGTTTTGATACAGAGTTATATTTTTATTTAAAATGAAACTTTTCAATTCATAATAGCGAACTGCGCAAAATTCCCTCTTTGAAAAAACGTTTAATGCTGAGGAAAAAATTGTAATTTTTTGTATTATTAGTTTATTTACGTTATAAAATATTCATAACATATTTTTTTCTAGGTGAGAATCAACAGGATAGGGTCAATATTCACAATTGAAAAGTTTCGGAATAGCGGCGGTAAGTTAATATTTTTAGATACGTAATGAAGGCCGTTTATTGTAGTTGGAGATAATTTAAATGTAATATCAAAAGCATAATTTAAAAAACTAACTACTACAAGAAAACAAAAACACATGTTGGTAGAACTAATTTAAACACACAAATAATGGAAAAATTGCGAGGCTCAAAGTCCATAACTCATTAAGTTCAGGCACATTTTTGTTACGTTATATCAAATTTTCTATACATACAGGGTGATTCAAAATTGGCGTCATTCCTCTGGAGGTGTTGTCTGGGGGTGTCTAGTAAGGAAGTACAGAGAAAATAAATAAAAAAATAAATGTTATTAAAAACTCAGATATTTGCAAAAAACTAGATCAGAAGGATGGCAACGATATTTTTCAAGGTAATCTGCCTAATTAACGTTTCGTAAATACCTGCTCCTTCGTAATTATTAAAAACTCCGGCAACTATGGATAAACATGAAGCAAAGAAAATAAAAGAGACAATAGCATGCGTTGAGGTTACGATAGCTGTGGCACCTTGCGGTCAGTGCTGCGACAAAACAGCCCCCGAGTGCTGCCATCTTTTTGGGGAAAATAAGTGATTAAGAATAGGTCACAAATGTAATCCAAAACCGATTTAAAGGTTATGTATCATTGATCAATATGAGTGATCAAATAAAATAAAATTCTGCTGATAAAACACAAGAGTTTCCCATGAGTAAAAAGTCCTGCCCGTTTCACTCCAAACATCTTTGTGTCCCAATCACTTTGAGTTTGGGCACTTATTTTGAGCAGCGACGCCAATTTGCAATTACCCTGTATACTGGCCTTGATTTTTAGTTCCTGTTGATGATCTGTAGTAGTTGCTTAATTTTTTTTTCTGCTCTTATTATTTCATTTTTAACAAATGGAACACAACTGGATGTAACTTGCAACATGGAAATATTTCGCGGCGTATGGAGGAGGCTTATATCTAGCAGTGGACACGAAAAGAAGCTAGATGATGGTAAGCTTGTTATACCTGAGATTATAATTGTGCTATCTCTAAGCCATACAGATAAAAAAAAACACCATAAATTATACCAACGAACCAGAAATCAAACTTTTCCAACTCCAAAAATAAGTATGGCATTTCATAATAGCCCTAATAAAAAAAACCGCCATCACACCATCAAAAATTCATACAATATTGCAATTTAAAAGGGTCCCTAGTTTTAACCAACTATAAATATTTTAATCCTTCAGTTGCACGTATTGAAAAACATGATTGATTGCTTTACGTGAACTTGTTTTCTAAAAATAACTTGCCTAGTGACCAACATCGTAACTTTTTTGCATAAGCTCCAAGCCCAAAAGGATGTGAAACGAGCCGTCATTTTTATCGCCAAGTTGATTATTCCAATTATTCAGTCCCGCATTGTGTTTTAATTAAATCAAGTCACCGAATAAATTAGCCTATAATTGGATGGAAAATGTAAGAACCATAAGTAATTGAAATAATTTAATCGAATTAACGTACATCTTGCTGGCTAAGGTGGTCATTTGCTAAATGGTTAAATAAGAGCGTAGATGTGGAACGAAATATTCCGTATCATTAAGCAAAAAAGAGAGGAAACATAGGATTTTTTCAATGATAACTAATGATTGATGCGTTTCAACCAGCAAAAAATGTATTCCAAGGAAATATAATGCAATAACATTTTTAAGTTTCATTTTTTTTAAATTGCTGCAAAAAATCTTGGGCTAAAACAATGCAAACTGCCCTGCAAAGCTCTGGTATTATTTGTTTCATATGATCTGTCTGTTCCTGTATTTTAGTTAGAGTTGCTTGTTTTCGCCCATAAAAGTAACTCTTTGAAACATTTCCTGGTTTAGTTATTCCAATTTTAGAGCAAGTTTAAATCAAAATTTTACAACTTTATTAAATATGTTTTTATAAATAGCACAGAAATTCGAATTAACAAATGTCTGCATAACTCATTTAGGGCTACACGCTCAAAAAATGCAAGTTGAATGTTGAGATAACTTCAGATTTCGGTAAACGTGAAGTAGGAAATCGTAGCGAAATTAGCGCCAGCCACGTCGTCTTTCTATACAATTGTATCCATCTCCCGCAGGAGCACGCTTGCCTTGTAGCCGGCGTCTCTTTCTACCTTCTCGACTGTTAATTTACGACTTTCGGTTTCATATTTCATCCAGACTAGTATTTAGTAAATTCATCGAGTTCTGGAGCCCTGCGACTTATTTGTGTGCTTATTTGCATTTGATCTTTGATTCGTTTCCGCGTGCACACAATTAGGCTGTGACGTGACATAGAGGGTGTCCCGTAAGTGATCAAAGGGGCACTAAGATAATCTTTGGCTCAAACGAAGACCATAGGAAATAACGTTTATTAAGGAAAAAATGTTGGAATCCTCTGTACTATTTTTTTTTATTATTGGGAGAATGGTACGATGGATTTTAATGAAACTCTGGCAAACTGTAATTTCAGCCTACAATATTTTCAAGATAGCCACACTTTCGGTTATACCGGAAGTGCATCAGCTTTCAGCTTGCTTATTTTAAATAGAACACCTTATATATTATTACATTTTTGAATTTTACTTCCAATTCTAAATATATTTTATGTATAATTTCTTATACCTAAGTCTAACCGTTTTTCAGATATTTGAACTTTTATGTAAAAAATGGCAGTTGCAGCCACTCGAATAATTATTCATTTTTCCTATAAGGGAATTTGTCATACTTAGTTTTAGTCGCATTTATTGTTGTGAAGGACTTACTTTAATGGAATTTCGAATACCTTTTTAAAACTATTAATACGAAGTGTTAAAAAAATAAGTATCAAAATACAGTTGAGAAAACCACCCAAAATCAATTTTTCCAAATGAAAACCCCCCTTTTTGATAATTTTTTCATATTCAGTATTTAAAATAAGTGTAAGTTTGTGTAACGCTGCATATTCCAAAAGTGTTCAGTTTTCGAAATATTGCCATTAATTATTATTATATCAATCACTGGTATTAAGACGTATTCAAAATGCATGAAATTTTCTATAACTTGTTTAGCAGCACAGCATGAAGGTTTCTGTTTTTGTAGATATCGAATGTGAAATATGTTCTTGATACAGTTTTATCACATTGTTCATAAATAAAAAATAAGCTTAAATAATCTTCGTTTGTATAATTGAAGCGCCCTGGTATGATTATTAATTATTTTAAAAAGGTAACTAACAGCTGTCAGTATTCCTTTGGCATTTGATTACATTAAAAATGGCCACTTTCGGCATGGCAACTGAGAGTGACAGGATTTAAAAGAAGGTGCTGCAAAATATCCATATGAAAACATTAAATTGGCAATATTTCGATAACTATACACTTTTGGAATAGATATCGTTACACCATCTTACACTTATTCTTAATACTGAATATGACAAAATTATCAAAAATGGGGGATTCCATTTGGAAACATTGATTGCCAATGGGATGCCAATGACCTTGGCACACTGTCCAATTTTCGATTTCTCCTAATTACAGTTTGTCAGATATCGATGTTGGCGGTTCCCGGTGGGACACCCTGTATACGACTCATGTTTTGATGAAGCAACCAAGTTCATCGCCTTTGCACAAGTGAGGAATTCTTGAGTCGTAGCACAAAACTTCCAGAACGTTTTATTTGGAAGTTTGAATCAACTGATTTTTTAGTTGGTGCACTAATTCTTTATAAATATTTTTTTGGAATAAAATATTGCATTCATAGCTTTTGAAAAAAAATTTCCGTTCCCTTTCTATTAGTAATGTTATTAGTACATTAACTACAAACGTAGGTACAGCCGGCAACACATAAAAGTAGACGATTAGAAAGTTGGTGCGTAAAGCTGACTTTCTAACTCGATCTACCTTTGCGTAAATTACATAATACTGACAAATTAATTTTCCTATTATCAAAATGACACTTTCAAAAGTATTTGAAAACCTCACCAACTGTACGAGGTAAAATACAGTTGACGACATATAAAAGTAGCCTACTCGACTACGATAGACGGTAGAAATTTTTTCCGATTTTGATAAATTAGGCTTTGCGAAATACGCCAAATATGCAAATTTCACAAACTTGTTCAAATTTGACAATCTAAGTAATTTCTTTAAAATTTAATAAATCATGCCTTCGGCTTTCCAAATAGCTCAGCTATTGTTTTTGTTGACTATCCTTCCCCGAATAATGTAAATTTCAGGTTTTTCAAGTAATTTTGTAATATCGCATTGTGATAAGAGGAAAATTTATTTGTCAGTATTGTGTCATTTACGTAAAGGCAGACCAAGGAACAAAGTCAGATTTACACCACAACTATTTAATTGTCTGCTTTCATTTTTCGTGGACTGTACTATTAACTATAATCAATTAATTGTAAAGCGTTGTGTAATTTTCAACTAACCATGTCCAAAGTCTTAGGCTCCGTGTTGGTTTTTCGAATTGTTTTCGTCCGAATTGCATTGCAACTGTGTTTTCGTCCGAATCAGAAATATTACGAAACAGAGACGCGAGTTTTCAGGAAAATATGGCTAAAACATAAAAAATTAGCACAGATTTTACTGTGGATAACAAATCCACAGCAAGTTTCATTAAAATCCATCTGAGCGCTTTTCCGATGTTACAGGCAGCTTAATTTAGGTTTTGTTAATGCAGAAGATCGTGTAAAATATTTGGGAAAACTACAATAATTACTGTTACAAAAATGACACCGGAAAATGCAGAGCAGTGGAGAGCATATTAGACATCATATTAGATGGACTCAAAGTCTTGACATGGATGGCATCATCTATAAAACTGTTATAGTAGATAGCGACAGCAGCTTTTCTGAGAAACATATTGAAACAAAATCTTATTTAAAATCAGAAAGATTTATAAATTCTATATATCATTCATTTATTATAACTAAAGTGTATTCTTATATTAGTTGCAATTCCAGTTTTTCGGAGTAATTCTCGTTCTGTTTGGGGACTTTTTATGAGTAAGAACTAGGAGTAATTTTATTTCGTTAATTTATGTATTGCATTTTACTTTTTTGCCATGGTATTGGGTGATTCGTTTTGCTGCATTAATAACTTTTGTCGGGATTTTATGTTCCCTGACCAATACCCGTACCCAAATAAAAAATAAATGTTTCAGGTACAAGTCGGATTTAAGACATAATTCCTGCTACGGCCCTAAAAATCCGTTTACGGGTGCAATCCCTGCAGAAACAATTGGACAAACCATAGAGACAGCATTAAAATCGAGCTAGAATTTGACGAAAAAATGTCCCGGAAAATGACCTATTTTGGCATGGAGTCCTGGTCGCATCTTTTGTCCAAACTAAAAAAAACTCGAAGCATTCTTATCTAGAAGGTTTGGTGGTTGTCAGAAAGTCAATTTAAATGTGGAAAAAACATTTGCAACCCTGTATAAACGTAATTTGAAAAAAAGCTTACATTTCTGAACTATTGTTGCTTAGTTTAAGCATACTCAGATAAAGTTTTATAAATTCAAAATGACTTTCTGACATGCTAGAGAATAGCATCTATCCAATTTTTCAAGTTTGAATCAAATACAAGAAGTAGTTTTTCTCTAATTCAATGCCAAAAATGCACGGGAATTCCTATGCTATAACGGATGAGCGTATAGCCTTAAAGCAAAAAAAAAAACAATTTTTTTCATAATCTTTATTTACATTTCTAACTTGAACCGGTTTTGAAACACATGGTCATCACTTACAGACGGCGATTCTAGGAGAAAAAACCGAATAACCTGTCAGCTCTTCAGCAAAAGGTTTGTTAACTATCAATTAGTATACAATATTCCGACAAGTTCGATTGGGCACTTACTGGACATGAAATATATAGCGGTATGTTGACCATATGTCTAAATGTCACCTTGGTTCAAAGAATCGATAATGTCGTTTCAGTAAATATTAGAGCTGACTTAACAATTAATATTGCGCCTCTGTAAAACGCTTTTGTTTGTTAAAATAACGGATTGGAATTTAACAACAGACGCCAGCAAAATACTCTAATATAGAAAGCAGGTATTTCTTTAAATGTTGCCATTAATTTTATTAGCGCATGTTTAACTTATGTATGTACATTCTTGACGATTAAATTTGACCCTTTAATATACAGGGTGGTTTTTTTAGTGCGATAGAGTTAATTATTTCCAATTGTGTAGAACTTTCGAAAAATAGTTTCATATAAAAGTTGTTGACGCACAAAGTGCGCACATTTTAAAAATATCTTATATTATACAGAGTGTCTCAGAAAATTGGGGCAAGATCCAAGTGTATTTTTCTAAGTAGAACTACCCATGTTTCATTAGCTCAGGGAATGCAGCTTGAAACGCTGCATATGCACTGTAAATTGTTTTTTTATTACTTGCGACGTTGGCAGATTATCGCCATTTTAGTGAAATTTTGCTTAAAAACATGGCATCTAAAAATTCATTGTAGAAGTAAAAAAAAGTAGTTAGAGATACAAAAAAATACGTCTTTTCAATCACCACGGATCCGTTAAGAATTCTATTGAACCAAAATATCAATACATTGTACAGGGTATTAACAATGTGGACTTCAATCTAAAACTCTTTAACGCAATAAAACTTTAGTTATTCAAATGGAAGTACCTGTATATTAATCCGTCATTAGATAGACAATTTACACAGTTACAAATTTGCATTTACACTTTAAGCTGTGAAATCAACCCTTTTCAAATTATAATTTATTTTATTTAAAAATTTCAAAAAGTTGCTACATTTTGTAAGGTGGCTATGGAAGTCAATAAATAAGTGTCATAAGTCAAAGTCAACAAATAAGTATTTACAAAAACTTGTTTGATTGAATAAAAGAGATAATGCTTGGAAACTATGGATGCCTTCGCAAAAATGATCGAAGGTGAAACTATGATAAGGTACCTAGTAGAAAACAACCTGTAAATACATAATGAATAGCGTTTACGGCCGAAAACAAGCACGGAAGTTAACACGCAAATAAATATAGCACATCGATTTTAAATATAACGTCCATTTAATTAAAAAGCGATATTATCAAAGTAACAATCATTACCAAAAAGTAAAAAAAGACTATGGTCTAAGTTTTACAGCAAAAAATGCTAATTTGACAGTCACAAGTGATAGAAATATCAGTATATTTATCTATTATTTATATTTATATATATATTTATCTAGTTATGTTAGTATATTCAAGTTATTTTGTAGTTTTTATCTTTCCACGTTTGTTTGTTGAAAAAACGTTTTAACAAAAACGGTTTTTCAAAAAAAAATTAAACCTGCGTATTTGAGCAAAATATAGATTAAACTATATTTTTGGAAAGAAAATT